TCTGATTATTGAATATCGTACAAAAATACAGGCTGTTAGGCCTTGAAGAAATTTTTTTTTAAACTTTGGGAGTCAGCCAATAGTAACACAACATATATATATTTTGTAGATTGCTGACCCCTATTTCTTTAATTTTATTTAGTATGTATCTTCGCTATTTATTCACCGTTTTTAATAAATGACAATTTTATCCTGCTGGTATTGTATTGCTGGTATTGTTTGTTTTTTTTTGCCTTTGAGACTTAGTGGGTTGTGTGTTGAAGAAAAGTCATTTGTGTCGTCGTGTGGTATTCAGCAGGGAAGTTCCATGTTCATGCGTAGGCCTGGATAAGTTGTCAAGTGTGGTCTTTCAAATAACGTGAGTAGAGTGAAAAGAATACACATATTTCCAGCTCATCACTATCACTTTTATTTGAAAAGTTACACAATGATTTGATAATTCATTTAATGATAATGACTGAAATAAAATGCTACTATACCACGTTAAATAAGTTTAATAAAAACAGTGAAATTATAATTAAACAGCTATTTACCAACGTCAAACTTCGTGGTTCAATCTTTTTGAGTCGTACGGTAACTGTTTACAAAACCATTTGGGGATTCACCCATTGCGTTGATTTGCCGTCGATTCGATTCTGTCAAGCTTGTATTTTAACAATACTATTTTTGGGAAGATTCGTACACCACGGATTCATGGGTAAATTCAATCATGCTGTGATAACTACGATTTTGTAAGCCTAAATGTTGAGTGAGTCATTCCCCCCCCCCACTACCTGAGACTCGGGGAGATGGATGTGTAGACCACGCCTTTTGTGGGCGTGGTCGCCGACAACCACTACTACATCCTGGTGAGAACCTCGCCAGATAATTAAGTGGCGGCCGCCAGATAATTAAGTGGCGGCCGCCAGATAATTAAGTGGCGGCCGCCAGATAATTAAGTGGCGGCCGCCAGATAATTAAGTGGCGGCCGCCAGATAATTAAGTGGCGGCCGCCAGATAATTAAGTGGCGGCCGCCAGATAATTAAGTGGCGGCCGCCAGATAATTAAGTGGCGGCCGCCAGATAATTAAGTGGCGGCCGCCAGATAATTAAGTGGCGGCCGCCAGATAATTAAGTGGCGGCCGCCAGATAATTAAGTGGCGGCCGCCAGATAATTAAGTGGCGGCCGCCAGATAATTAAGTGGCGGCCGCCAGATAATTAAGTGGCGGCCGCCAGATAATTAAGTGGCGGCCGCCAGATAATTAAGTGGCGGCCGCCAGATAATTAAGTGGCGGCCGCCAGATAATTAAGTGGCGGCCGCCAGATAACTGATTTGAAATTTTTATACACTGTTGACACTAACGGGCTTCCGTAAATGTACAACCACAGACTCAACGACTGGTAGTTCGGGGAAGATACACCTAGACGATAACGTACAAATGACATGTATGTTTGTTGTGTTATGTTGCCGGTAGTACACTCGAGCGGTACAAGTGGGGGCGCCCTTTGAACATATACCAACCCATGCAAAAAGAGGACGAGATAACTTGCACTTGGCATTGTCAGCAAAAATTTCTATCACAGTGCCATCGACGAGTATACTCGCCCCCTAATATTTTCCCGCCAATTTATTAGACACATCATTTTGATGATATATGACTAGATAAAATTTCAAAAAAGTATGTTTGTACATGTAAACTTGTTTTGGCACACGGGAAGGAACCGTAAAAAAAGGTCTGGCAATCAAAAACGTGTTAAATCATTAATTGTATTCTCTGGAGCATTGTAAACACGCTGTCTCAACAGTGGTGGTGCCGAGATTTTCTCGTCGCGACGAATTAGTTGTTAAAATAATTTGCACAAAGTGTAACAAGGGCCTGACGGTAAAATACATAGATGTTTGTGTTAAGTTTAATTAGATTTGTGTTTGGATCAGGTGTGATTTATGGACTCTGATGTATCAAGAAAGTTCCGTAGTAGGGGATGTAAATTTAGTTTGGGGTTGAGTTTCTACAATGGTTTTTTGCCCTGGTTCTTAATTATCGGCGGCCCGCGGGTCAAATTTGCCCCGCAGAGTAATTTAATTGGCCAATACATATATTAATTGTCGACTTATAGCGTACATATTGTGGAGATTTATTAGCTCCATAAACGGGAACGTAAAACAGATCAAGGAAGTAATACTTAATGCAACCCTACAAACATGCTAAAGGAGGTATATCGTGTATACGACGAAAAAATAATTTTACAAATCAAATCAAATGACGTCATAATCATGGGCAAACAATAAAATCGTTTTTACTACTACGATTTTTTTCGTTTTCCTATGATTATGGCGTCATTTGATATGATTTGTGAAAATATGTCTCTGTCGTATACACGATAAATCGTTATCGAATCGTGCTAGTGTGAAAACTTTTCTTATTTCTTTTATTTTTTATATGCAATTGCTTTTTAGCTTTTTATCGTTGATCGTTATTGTCAAAGTGTAAAGAGACCTTAATCCTACTCCTAAGCTAAGCACTCGGCGTTATAATCATTCGATAATCACTAACAACTTTAAGGGAAACGAGCTTGGTTTTAAACTGATCGAGCTATAGTAGGTCAAAAATAGAATAGGCCTAGTTTTTTCTCTCTGGTTTGTTCTGTTGACTGTGTTTCGTCAATAGTGTTTTAACTTTATGTTACATGTTAATAAAAACTTGTACCAAGAACAGTGCTCATATCAATACGAAGTCGACATCCTATAAATATTTTTATTTCATTCATTGAGCGCTATTTACATAGCGCTTTAACATCACAACAAGCAATATTACAAAAGCACAGACCGAACAAACAAAGCACATCTTAAAGTTAACCGTTGTAAAAGAGAAAACAGCCAGGTTAATCTGCAGGTCAAATCCAGTGATGTCACATTTTAAAGTAAATTTTCAATTCGTTTTTAAATGAATTAAGATTAGGTTGAAGACGGATGACAGCGGGCAAATCGTTCCAAAATTTGAGCACATTAAAAAAAAAACACTTTCTTTTCCTTAATCAAAAGTTCAATTAAAGATTTATATTTCTCTTCAAACTTAGAGAGATCCGATACCTTGATGGTTTTCTTAAACTTCCGTTCAAGTTAGCGACACTCTCGTCTAAAATTATCAGTCCTCTACTCGGGGTCACAAAATGTGCGAAAAATAGTTACCAAATGTTACACATAATATTGTCTAGGCTCTAAACGTAGGCTTATTTATTTGCATCAATCATATTGGTGGTAAAGCGACCCTCTAAATCTGACTAACGACACTAACAATTAATCACCCAGGTTATTTTAATTATTACTTCAACCTTGGCATGTGAGATCAACTCTAAAAAATATTTTGGTCCTTCAAGAAAATTAATTAAGAACCAGAGGTTTATTGTAACGTTTTTATGGTCGGGCGTTCCGGTGATAAGTCCATTGTTTTTATTACAAAAACAAATTTTTGAAAGTATTAGACAATGGCAAATGAATTTTTCTAGATAATTTCATTTCATGATTTCGGTTCAATTAATTTTATTTTTTTATGTTCAATACCTATATATATAGACTAGCCAAACCAGTCACTCGTCGCAAATCCTGTTTTGGAGATAATGTCCAAAACATGCTGGAATTTCAAAATTTTGGAAATCTATTTTATTGCACTAACCTTTATATATCTATACATCATGCTATGCTGTTATTTTCCTCATTTTCAATGTTAAAACAACAATTTTTAACGATTTGGTGATGGTGTCTGCCTAAGAAATGCCTGAATTCGTAAACTTTGAAGGCTGATTTCTCAAATATTGTTCTTTAAACAGCTGTATGTTTAAACTCGTGTACCTTAATAACGAAGTTTCGGATTTAAATGATTCTTTTACCATTTTATAGCTCTCATTTTACTGTTAAACACAGTATTAATAACTAAAAATTGATTTTTCCGACGAGTGACTGGTTTGGCTTGTCTTTGCAAGCCAAACCATTGTTAGGTATTTTACAAATTAAGACGAGCAATGTAATTTTCTCCTTTTTAGAATGAATAACTATGATTTATGTTGATACCGAGAGTGTGAGAGCTGAGAATGTGTAGTTATGGTAGAGAGGTTTAGAATGGGGTAGTTAATTTGAGTTGTCGAACTGGGTTTTTTTCTTTATCTTAAATAAAGATCTTATTTATTAATAAAACTATCCCCACCCTATTTAAATATAAATCTTATTTATTAATAAAACTATCCCCACCCTAAAACAATGTCTGTACTTCTGAATTGATACAGTATAATATGGTGACTATTTTGATATTTATGGATCTCTAACCACTGAAACTGACGGTTGAGAATAAGGCAGTCTATTCCACACGTTTGGGGCAGCAACCGAGGATGCTCTTTTCCTTTACAGTTTTGTACCTAATGGAGGACGTACAGACAAGGTGGTTTTGGACTGGAGTGGTAGAGCGAAGTTTAATCAGGTTTGAAATATATATAATGATGATTTTCTTTTAATGAGTTTAAAAGTGATGCGTTGCTTAACTGTTAACTAGGGCAGCAGTAACATAAATCATCGAAATTCTTGATATATTATTCAAGTAAAAGTTATAATTTCCTTATAGAATTTTGGACTACAAAGAATTTAAAAAATGCTATTGTAATAAGTCCAACAAAAATAAAATTCGGACTTGGACAATCTTTATAGCTGTTTGGTCAGTTATTAACCTTCGATTAGTGTTATATGTATGAATATATAAATTAAGTATCAAACGTATTTTAATATTTACCCAGTAGTGCCTATATAGAGGATTTAACTACTTAAACTAGGATTGTTCATTTGGATTCTCTTTTTTTTTTCCAAATTCCAAGGAATCTTTTAAAAAAAAATCAACATTGACAGTTTAACTTTATTCTAAATTAATTTTAGTCAAAGCATTAACCTAGGATTATTTCAGATTGCAATATAGCTTCCTTTTGGAACCACAACCGGAAGTTATAAAAACCTGTTACTACACTAGGCCTATATATTGGACTGAAGAATGACAACATGTTTACAAGTAGACTTCTTGCGAGTAACATTAGTTCAATTATTTGAGATCCGTCGATTGTGAAAAGATGTTGTCGATTCTAACTATACTTGTCATTTTCAGTTTGGCTAAGGCTATTATAATCAAGATAGCAGTTAACATTGTTAAATGATTTATAAATCTTCGGAGAAATGTAAATAGTGTTCGAATAAAGGACATGGTAAAGCTAAAGGTAAATAGCAGAACGGTTATTTACCTTTCTTTGATAATTTATACATACGAATTGTAGTTTTTCTCCGCGACCGGGCGGGGTGGGGGGGGGGCATGTCCCCGACGAAAAAAAGTGGGCAGCTCCCTCCCCCAGTTAGTGCCACCCCTGATATATAGGCCTATATATAGGAAAATGCTAATTATCTACGTCATAGCTTTTTTTAATTTGTCTCATTTCCAAAGGCGCGCAATTCGACTAAGCTTTTGTGTGGTACAGTAGATGGCTTCATATTGTACCATGGAGAGTACGATGAAGTTACTTTTGTTGACTAGTTAATTAGCTGCTGTTATTAACTTGTCTATTTTGTTAAATCACTTAACCCACTATATTCCTCTTTTATATTTATTATATTTTATATACCGGTATTTATTTAGGCACATAGGCACATACACGAAGGATTGTCAACAGCGAATACGTCACTTTCCTACTTTTAGGACACATGATTTTTTACACAATCTAAATCTCACTATGAGGTTTAGAGAGTGGAGTTGTTTTTGGTCGCCGTGAGAACAAATCCTGCAACATGACAGGAATTGAACGCAGGACTCTGGGATTGGAAGGCATGCATCTTAATCACCAAGCTATTTAACTCTTCACAATCCTATGGTCAACGTGCTCTTTCTTTTTAGAATTTATGCTTCATTCAGTTCGCGATTCGCCTAATTTGCTTGCTATTACGATAATATTAATAATATTAATAATATTAATAATATTAATAATAATAATAATAATAATTATTATTATTATTATTATTATTATTATTATTATTATTATTATTATTGTAGTTATTATTATTATTATTATTATTATTATATTTAGTTGGTCATGGCATGGATAAAAAAAACCGTTAGCAACTAATAAAATATAAATGAAATAGTTTAAAAGTATTTTATTAGGTACATTTTTAAGAGCAATAAAACTCTTAATCTTCTAAAACATTAAAAAAAAAAGTTTAAAGTTAAGCCAGGTTTTCTTTGTGTGGGCGATTATACTATATCGACCTTTATTTATGTACTTACTTACTTACCTACCTACCTACCCAGGCCCGTACGCTGGGGGTGGGGGGGGTGCGAAGGGTGTGTACGCACCCCACCCCCAAATCGCCAAAGGTACACATTTTTCGGGGTAGAAAGTTCAAGACACACTCTCACACGTTCCAGAAATCTATCAACCAAAACTCCAGTGATCAATCAGAGCACTTTCCAACTAAGACTGCCTCTAATTTTTCGTGCAATCAAGAGCTTTTAATTGTATTCATAATTTTTTTTTAGGAATTTGAGTGTTTTTCCCCACCGCTTGCGTGTCAATAACGCGCCACGTACAAAACTCATCTTCTCTCTTACTGTAGGTTTCACTAGAATTATCTTTATTCTTGTTTACGTCCGCAGTGGGGTGCGACGGGTGCGTACCAACCCCCCGCCCCCAAAAATCACCATAGGTCGACATTTTCCGGGATACGTGGTTGAAAGTGGTCTAGGGAACCCGGTGGGGGTTGAGGGGGAGGAGTCCTGGGACTATGGCCTTTTGAGAGTCGTATCTAATTAATTTTAAAAGATGCAATTAGCATTTATTTCCACACTACATTTTCAAAATACAGGGCGGATCCAGGAATTCGAAATAAAGAGGGCCTGGGAGGGACTTTCACAGATGGGGTATAGATCACCTCAGCCCCACCATTGTTGGGGCTGATGTAAGAAAATTTATGATTATGGCATCTGTAGTTGATCGTCAATGGCACACTCAGATTTTGAATTTTAATATAATATTCTTTTTTCTCATTTAAAATTTTGAAAAAAATTAGGGAGGGTGGGCCGGCTGGGCCTCCTCGAATCTGCAATTGATATCCCCATCATAAAAAGTTTTTCAATTTATTTTGGTAATCATAATCATGCCCGCTTATATAATATTTTGTGAAAACTAACATTCATAAAAATAATGGCAAATAAGATAAACTTAAAACATTCACTCTAATTTAGTCTCTAGTTTGCATGCTGGGGCAGATTCAGAAATTTTCAGACAGGGGGCCCAATAGGTACGGTAGTGCACACCCAGTTGGGACTAAGGTAAGCAAATTTTAAGAATAGGCGCTTGTAGACACTCGGAAATGGCACTCTCAATGGTAAAAATGCTATTTCAAAGCAGTGTTCCTCGACAAAATCATTGACTGCTGCCCGACGAGAGCTGTGCTCCTCTCCTTTAGACCTCTCCCCTCACAGGCGTCGCAAAGTTATAATGAAGGACCTATAGTCTCTATACTTGGAGTCGCAAAACAAATTATGATTATGACACCTTTAAATGCCCGGAAATGGCACTCATTCAGACTTTTGAATATGTTATCTTTTTTTTTTTTATTTTGGCAA